AAATTTTTTAATGAAAAAAGTTTGCAATCGGAAGTCTTTTAAACGCTTCACTCATTACTTTTTGGTAAAACTTTAAACATTTCAAAGTAAATAATTAAATTGTCAGATTTGCATAAATATACGTGGGAAAGTAGCCTGTACGTAAAGGTCGACTTCACCAATTTGATCTTCCTTTAATAATCACTGGAAATACGATCAAGGAAGATTACAATATTATTGTTCTTCGTATAAGTCTTTATTATTTTGTACTTTTTTTACAATATTAAGTCTTTAAAAAATACTTTATGATACATGCTACAGTGTTGGATAAAGTATAGATAAGGACTAAACCATCGAACAGATGGTTTAGTCCTTATCTATACTGTACTTATACTTATCCTTAATAAATGCATTTCATCAACAGATTTCTTTGCACTTTTTTGTATACTCTTTCAGAACTTCTTTCCCTTTTGCTTAAAACATCGGCGTTCCAAAAATAGAATACGTAAATTTAAGTACAAAAAATAATAACGGAAAATAAGAAAATAACAGAAAAAATTATACATGTATAAATATAAATATCTGTTAAATAGATTTATTTATTTTTGTTTGCCATATAATATTTGAATAAAGGGAGGACTCGTTTATAAGACAGATCTGACGAAACGTCACGTCTTTTTTCTTTAAAAAAAAAAAACAACGTTCGATCGGAATTTTAAAAACCGATCTCGGAGCGGTAAAATGTCGGAAGATGCGCAATTTAGGGAATTTCCGATTGTACGATTGAACGGTTGGCAACACTATAACTTTCTATTTCCATCAGCTGTTTGAAGACGTATTTGTTTTAATACGACAGTAGGAAGGTTGAGTACATATCTCGTAGCTTCTTCATGGACGATCTCGAGTCCTTACCGTTGAACGTACCCGAAAGCAGTTCCACCGTCAGCACTGCGGATTCCGACGTCGAGATTTTAACGTCAGGTATTAAATTTTATAATTAGTAAGTGGGAAGTTTTCTTGTAGAAACGCGATTAAAAAAAAAAGTATGTTGTTTACTCCGGATGTTTTTGCGTACTAAAAATACCGCGATTTTGGCGAAATACGTCTTGATCTAATGCGCTATCAATAAACTGGCGGATAAATTATGTCCTGCGTCGTTGCTGACCGCTTCAATTTCTTCACGTTAGTAAGCATACGGCTAATGTATTGATATGCGTATGACGATATTGTAAATATTTCGTCTACTCGCCGATGATTATGATTTACACATCGTGGTCAAAACATTTTTTCCGGATGCCCTCTAAATTTAATACGTTAGTAAATAGTGAAAAAGAAAGAAAGATATTTAAGGAACATACCCCGCAGATATTTGTTTAGAAAATCAAAATTTCTTGTTTTTTTCTTCCTGGCGGTTTTTTAAAGTGAGATTGCGGACGTTGACGGTACCGGCGCGACCTTAACGGATCCGTCGAGCGTGTCTGCGGGAGCGAGAGAGTCGAAGGAACCGTACCTCCGGGCGGGACCCTTACCGGGACGTGGCCCTTCGGAGTTGGCCGGAGTCCCTTGTTTACAACATTCATCAAAGAAACAATTGTTTCTTTGATGAATGTTGTAAACAAGACTTTGTGACAAACAAAACAATATAAAGACTAAAATATAAATGAAAGTACAGGTAACCCCCGTATAACACAGTAGTTAGCTTCCAAAAAATTGCCATGTTATGTGAATCTGTGTTATACGAAACAAAGAACTAGTACGAAAAGGAGGGTTAGGTTCCAAAAATTAAAAAACATGCTATTATATTTTCATAATTAAGATAAATATCTTTATTAAAATTTTCTTAAGTCATACATATTAATATAAATTAAACAATGTTCTCTTTGTTATCACTAAAAGCACTATTAACCGAGAGCGTTTTTGGCACGTTATCCTTATCCTCTGAGCATTTTTCTGCAATATCTTCAGATCCATGCTTTACCTTTTGCAAAAAGTATGTAATTTTAGATTGCTTGCTGCTAGTTAAAAGATCTTTTTAAATTCTCTTATATCGTGCTAAGCACTTATGAAGAATAAAGCAAGTATGGAATAAGGGAAAAACATCTGGCAACATCAGAAGCAGAAGCGTCGAGATCTGACAACATTGAAACAAGCTTCGAGAAGGACCATGTGTGTCGACAGAAGACGAGAAAAGAAAATTGACATACTTAAGTATACTAATAGTTCACGAAAATTATTATTTTTGTGAACTATTAGTATACTTAAGTATGTAAAAATTTATTACATTTTATGTTGTACGAGGGTTTTGCCCAATTTTTGAACTGTGTCAGAGTGAATCTGTGCTATAACAGTACAGTGTTATACGGGGATGGTACCAATTCTCGAACCGTGTTAGAGTGAATCCGTGCTATAGAAGTGCCGTGTTATACGGGGGTTACCTGTATATATTTTAAAATAAGAAGACTAAAAATGATTGAAAATGTAAAAACTGTTTATTGGCGTTATTGGTAAATATGTTTAACTAACAAGTATGAGCACTTTCGACTGTATATAACAGTCTTCTTCAGGCAATATGGCAGATGGAACGTTACAAATCTGGAGATAGAACACATTTTCAAATTGCTCTTTGTGCACGAGCATGGAACATCAAAATTTAAAAATACAAAATTATACACCATTACAAAATAAACATAATATATGATGGCAATGGTTAACAAAAATAACAAAATTAATACATAGAAATAATTGATAAAAATATAAAGAAAATTTAAACAAAATGTAAACACTGGTCACCAGTTTTTTTTTATCTCATTACAATATGATTCTTCTTCTTCTTCTTCTTTTGTCCCTAGCTGGCATTTGGTTGCGGGTGTCTGCGCAACCAGTATGCTGCTGTGGGTGCCGCAGGAAGTCGAGCTTTCTCCACAATGCCCCTCCAATGCCCTCGATCCATGGCCGCCGCTTTTGCCTGGTTCAGATCAAGCCGTTGGTTCTTGAGGTCCTCCTCAACGTGTTTAGTCCATGTTTTCTTAGGTGCGGAGTGTTGGATTTTCCACAGATTAGGTCGCTGTCGGAAGAGCAGTTGGTGGGGAATCCGGTTAAAATCCATTCGGCACACATGGCCAAACCATCTCAGCCGTCGCTGTTGAATTTGTGTCTTAACAGATGGCTGTTGTCGGCATCTGGCCCGGATGGCATTGTTGGTGATGCGATCCCAAAGGGAGATACCAAGAATCTGTCTCAAGCATTTCAATTGAAAGGTCTCAAGTTTGTCCAAGTCTGTCTTAAGCAAGGTCCAAGTTTCTGACCCATAGAGAAGGATTGGTATGACTAGTGTACGGAACAGGCGGATCTTGGTCATCAAAGAAATGTTCTTCTTTCTCCATACACACCATTTGAGTGAGGCAAATGCATGGGCTGCCTGTCCAATACGGGCATGAGTTTCTTTTGACGATGCCACTTTCTTCTCCTGGATCAGTGACCCAAGGTATTTAAACTCTTGTACCTGCTCAATTTGGACTCCATTAAGGTAAACAGTTGCCCGCGATCCATCCGTTGTAAGCACTTTGGTTTTGTCCACATTTATTTTAAGACCATATGACTGAGCGATAGTGGCTATATCATAAAGCGTATCTGTGGCCACTACATCGTTGTCAGCGAAGACGGCACTGTCGTCGGCAAACATTAGATCAGTTAGAAAGTGGCCATCCCCAAACTGGACACCACATTTCCCATCAAATGTCTTCCTCATAATTGAATCCACCACAATATTAAACAATAGTGGAGAGACCACGTCTCCCTGGCGAACTCCTGTCTGGATGGTAAACTCCTCAGATAGTTCCCCCCGGATTCGCAGTTGACTGGTGGAATCTTTGTAGGCTTCCTTGAGTAGTGTGATAACTTTTTGTGGGACATGCTCATTCTCAAGTGCTCTCCATAGCGCAGGCCTGTGCACACAGTCGAATGCAGATTTGAAATCGATGAACAGGACAATGGTCCGTTTGCCGCATCTGGTCCTTTCCTCAATAAGCTGACGCAGGGCAAAGATTTGATCACAGCAACCNTTAAAAAAATAACTGTAGTAAGAAAAACAAATGAAAAATGCGAACTAATGTAACGTCGTATGGTGAGTTTTTGTTCGTATCGTGGAGCAAAAATATGTTCGAATTTCATGTCGTATCCTGAAAATTTCGTATGCTGGGGCGTTCGTAACCTGAGGTACCACTGTATTCATTTTCAAATGTGTCGACATTAATGTCAATTTTTATGATTTCAGTAATTGGTTTTAAATTGCATATTTTATTGACAATAAAAATATTGTTCTTATTCAAAAAATCTAAATTTTTTAATGAAAAAAGTTTGCAATCGGAAGTCTTTTAAACGCTTCACTCATTACTTTTTGGTAAAACTTTAAACATTTCAAAGTAAATAATTAAATTGTCAGATTTGCATAAATATACGTGGGAAAGTAGCCTGTACGTAAAGGTCGACTTCACCAATTTGATCTTCCTTTAATAATCACTGGAAATACGATCAAGGAAGATTACAATATTATTGTTCTTCGTATAAGTCTTTATTATTTTGTACTTTTTTTTACAATATTAAGTCTTTAAAAAATACTTTATGATACATGCTACAGTGTTGGATAAAGTATAGATAAGGACTAAACCATAGAACAGATGGTTTAGTCCTTATCTATACTGTACTTATACTTATCCTTAATAAATGCATTTCATCAACAGATTTCTTTGCACTTTTTTGTATACTCTTTCAGAACTTCTTTCCCTTTTGCTTAAAACATCGGCGTTCCAAAAATAGAATACGTAAATTTAAGTACAAAAAATAATAACGGAAAATAAGAAAATAACAGAAAAAATTATACATGTATAAATATAAATATCTGTTAAATAGATTTATTTATTTTTGTTTGCCATATAATATTTGAATAAAGGGAGGACTCGTTTATAAGACAGATCTGACGAAACGTCACGTCTTTTTTTTTTAAAAAAAACAACGTTCGATCGGAATTTTAAAAACCGATCTCGGAGCGGTAAAATGTCGGAAGATGCGCAATTTAGGGAATTTCCGATTGTACGATTGAACGGTTGGCAACACTATAACTTTCTATTTCCATCAGCTGTTTGAAGACGTATTTGTTTTAATACGACAGTAGGAAGGTTGAGTACATATCTCGTAGCTTCTTCATGGACGATCTCGAGTCCTTACCGTTGAACGTACCCGAAAGCAGTTCCACCGTCAGCACTGCGGATTCCGACGTCGAGATTTTAACGTCAGGTATTAAATTTTATAATTAGTAAGTGGGAAGTTTTCTTGTAGAAACGCGATTAAAAAAAAAAGTATGTTGTTTACTCCGGATGTTTTTGCGTACTAAAAATACCGCGATTTTGGCGAAATACGTCTTGATCTAATGCGCTATCAATAAACTGGCGGATAAATTATGTCCTGCGTCGTTGCTGACCGCTTCAATTTCTTCACGTTAGTAAGCATACGGCTAATGTATTGATATGCGTATGACGATATTGTAAATATTTCGTCTACTCGCCGATGATTATGATTTACACATCGTGGTCAAAACATTTTTTCCGGATGCCCTCTAAATTTAATACGTTAGTAAATAGTGAAAAAGAAAGAAAGATATTTAAGGAACATACCCCGCAGATATTTGTTTAGAAAATCAAAATTTCTTGTTTTTTTCTTCCTGGCGGTTTTTTAAAGTGAGATTGCGGACGTTGACGGTACCGGCGTGACCTTAACGGATCCGTCGAGCGTGTCTGCGGGAGCGAGAGAGTCGAAGGAACCGTACCTCCGGGCGGGACCCTTACCGGGACGTGGCCCTTCGGAGTTGGCCGGAGTCCCTTGTTTACAACATTCATCAAAGAAACAATTGTTTCTTTGATGAATGTTGTAAACAAGACTTTGTGACAAACAAAACAATATAAAGACTAAAATATAAATGAAAGTACAGGTAACCCCCGTATAACACAGTAGTTAGCTTCCAAAAAATTGCCATGTTATGTGAATCTGTGTTATACGAAACAAAGAACTAGTACGAAAAGGAGGGTTAGGTTCCAAAAATTAAAAAACATGCTATTATATTTTCATAATTAAGATAAATATCTTTATTAAAATTTTCTTAAGTCATACATATTAATATAAATTAAACAATGTTCTCTTTGTTATCACTAAAAGCACTATTAACCGAGAGCGTTTTTGGCACGTTATCCTTATCCTCTGAGCATTTTTCTGCAATATCTTCAGATCCATGCTTTACCTTTTGCAAAAAGTATGTAATTTTAGATTGCTTGCTGCTAGTTAAAAGATCTTTTTAAATTCTCTTATATCGTGCTAAGCACTTATGAAGAATAAAGCAAGTATGGAATAAGGGAAAAACATCTGGCAACATCAGAAGCAGAAGCGTCGAGATCTGACAACATTGAAACAAGCTTCGAGAAGGACCATGTGTGTCGACAGAAGACGAGAAAAGAAAATTGACATACTTAAGTATACTAATAGTTCACGAAAATTATTATTTTTGTGAACTATTAGTATACTTAAGTATGTAAAAATTTATTACATTTTATGTTGTACGAGGGTTTTGCCCAATTTTTGAACTGTGTCAGAGTGAATCTGTGCTATAACAGTACAGTGTTATACGGGGATGGTACCAATTCTCGAACCGTGTTAGAGTGAATCCGTGCTATAGAAGTGCCGTGTTATACGGGGGTTACCTGTATATATTTTAAAATAAGAAGACTAAAAATGATTGAAAATGTAAAAACTGTTTATTGGCGTTATTGGTAAATATGTTTAACTAACAAGTATGAGCACTTTCGACTGTATATAACAGTCTTCTTCAGGCAATATGGCAGATGGAACGTTACAAATCTGGAGATAGAACACATTTTCAAATTGCTCTTTGTGCACGAGCATGGAACATCAAAATTTAAAAATACAAAATTATACACCATTACAAAATAAACATAATATATGATGGCAATGGTTAACAAAAATAACAAAATTAATACATAGAAATAATTGATAAAAATATAAAGAAAATTTAAACAAAATGTAAACACTGGTCACCAGTTTTTTTTTATCTCATTACAATATGATTACTTCCACTTGAATTATAACACTGTCTAAACCTGTTGTCTAATGAGTCTAGGAAATAGGTCAAATTACCAGTTTATAAACATTGTCTAAACTAGTGTTGTGGAGATGGTGTCTGAGTCACTGGAGTCAAATGTTTTTGTCGGAGTGAGTAAAATTTTTTGACTCCAGTGATTCCAAACTCAAAGTTTACTATTGGTAAAATGTAAAGTAAGAAAAATAATTAATTAATTAGTATCTAAAGAAATTAATTTCTTATAAAACTGACACTTCACTAAATTTAGATATTAAAATGATATTAACCCATAATGGACATTTTCATAGCAAAATGTTAGGTGTTTCTTGTGCAACATGCTCTATATTTTCAGAAAATAACTTCTATTAATTTAAGGCCCACCAGTGGTTGAGTAGATAAAACTATTGAACACTTGTACATGGGATCGTGGCTGGAAAGTAAATGCATATGGTATTGCTTGGAAGTGCCCAGCTTATCTTACCAATGAGAAGAAATAAGTAGATTTTAATTAGGGAGCCATAATTTTTACTTGTGCAATATTTTTTACATCTTGGATATTTTACTGTGGATATCAACTGTTTTGCTTTTTTTACTAATTTGACTAAATAATTTTTTCACTACCCTTCACTAATTGGTTTTGAGTTATTTATGACTTTTGATTATAGTTTCGATAACATAATTTAGTCTTAAAAGAGTCAATAGAAAAACAATGAAAAAGTAAAACTGGGATCAGAATCTTACTGCAACAAACTAAGAGTGATGTAAAACTGCAAAATGTAATAGAAATGTTTTAGCTTATTATTAAGTTATTGAGCCATGATTGCACATGTCAGTTCAAGATTTGTTTTCCAAATTTCATATTTTTAAAATTTATAAATTCTATATCAGTTTAGTCAACCATCAATAGGAAATTAACTATTGTGGTAGCAGCTGAATGGAGGAAACTATTTTACAGACCAGTTTATTATGTCATTCATCAAATCATTATTTTTAGTGTTTTATTGTATTTAATTTTTTCTTGAAAAAAATTACATTTAAATCAATTTTTCATAATTAACTAATGAAAGTGGAATTCGTTGGCTATAGAGCTCTACTACATCAGAGCCACAGGGAGGTCATTAAAAGAAAGGTTAAAAAAGCATAAAAGGAACATATAGAACAAGCAGCTGGTCACTGCACTAGTGACATACATTATAGCAGACCTGACAGAGGTCATAGTGGATTGGGAAAGAACTAAAGTAATACAAAAGATTCAGGATGAGAGCACCTTAAATATGCAGAAGCATTGCAAATACACAAGACTAACCAGGAAGGACAAGCGATAAACTTTAGAGAATTGAGTAAAGTCTTAGTGGCATGGAGAGCGGGCATAATATGAATATTTTAGTGTAAAAAAGGAACAAATGGTTAAAGAATTAGTCACAGTTGTGTTACTGTTTTTATTTATTTATTTATTCATGTATTACATATAGTTTGTGTATATTTGTACAAGTAACCTGTATCTGTTGTAATTATTTACAGGCTTGCACGCTAGACATTTAAGAAAATTCAATTGTTTAGAAACATTTCAAGCAAATTTTGTTTTATGGAAATTGAAAGAATTTGATTTTTTGTTCCTGAAGAATAATGTTAAAACTTTTTTATTTTTCAATGTAGTTTCCTTTGTTAGCAATGCACTTATTCCAGTAATGTTCTAGCTTTTTTATGCCATCACAATAGGTTGGTTTGTCAAGATGTGCAAAATACTCGTTCACTTCAGAGATGACTTCGTCATTTGAGTGGAATCTCTTTCCAGCCAAGAATTTTTTTAGGTTTGGGAAAAGGTGGAAGTCACTGGTGGCCAAATCAGGTGAGTACGGTGGATGTGGAACTAATTGGAAACGAAGTTTGTTTATCTTTTGTTCAGTGATTCTGGTGGAATGTGTAGGTACATTATCGTGGTAGAACAGAATCTTTTTCTTCTTCAAGTGTGGCCTCTTTTCTTCGATTTCTTTCTTCAGTTTTTCCAAAAGTTCACAGTAATAGACAACACTGATGGTCTTTCCTCTTTCTAGGTAGTCAATAAAGATGATGCCTTTGGCATCCCAAAAAAACCAAGGCCATCACTTTCCCCGCTGATGTAATTGTCTTTGCCTTCTTTGGTGGTGGCCAACTATGGTGTTTCCATTGCTGTAACTGTTCTTTTGTTTCAGGAGTGTAGTAATGGATCCACGTTTCATCAGTAGTCACAAATTGACACAAGAAATCCTGTAGGTTTTTCTGGTAGAAGTCTAAACACTCCTTTGACATCAAAGTGTGAACACTTTTTTGCTTGGCAGTCAGCAGACGCGGCACCCAACTTGCTGAGACCTTTGTCATACCCAAATTTTTGGTTAGGATGTGGTGCACTCAGTCAACAGAGATGCCTGTTGTCTCAGCTATCTCACGCGTTTCAAACGGTGATCTGCTAACACCAAATTGTGAACTTTGTCGATATTTTCTTCAGTGACAGCAGTTGACGGCCGTCCGTTGCAAGGGTCATCTTCCACACTCTCTCTGCCAGACTTAAAAAGGGCTGTCCATTTTTTCACAGTAGTGTATGAAGGAGCAGACTCTCCCAAAACTTCATCCATGTCAGCTTTGATTTGAGATGGGATCAACCCTTTTTTTGTCAGGTATTTTATTACCGCATGAATCTCCATCTTCTCCATTTTTGACAAAGTATGTGCACACTGACTATCTGCTAAGCTGTTGTGGCAAAACTTTATGACAAATCAAGCGGAAATTGGTATTGTATCTTTAGCAAAGATGGCTGAATCATTCCCGCCAAAAATTAAATTGATTGCAGTATCGCATATAGGCAAGGCCGCGAACTTTCCAAACAGCCCTCGTACATTTTGATTTTTCATTTAGCGGTACTCTATAGTTGATGACTGTTTTCTCTCTTGCTGCCTTATAAATTTGAATTTGTGACTACAAGAAGATTGTCAGAACTAACTAAGTTACAATAACATACAAGAGAAGCCCAATCATATACAGGTTAATCTGCAACAACAAAGATATCATTAACAGAATCTTTCAGGGGTTTATACAGTACTGATAACAGAATAGCAAAGTGATTACAGTTAGGTAGGGACCACTACAAGATCTTTGAATCAATGGCTCGAATATCGTACAATATTGATTAAAAAAAAACAATAACACCACTGCTTTATCCACTCTAACCTTAGAGGCAGACATATCAATACATACACATTTAGTTCAAATACCAAAGGCCAAATTTATATACAACTTGAACAAAATGCAAATATGGCATTTAGAAAAAATTGAAATTTATTGATACGTTGATTTGTATCAATAAATTTCAATCTTTGATGAGATATTTTTAATGAGATTACAAACTTACTACAATACCTGTGCATTTGCAGAGAGAACGTTTTATTAACAAGCATTTTCAGTCTACTTCCATAGGCCATCATCAGGTTTTTAAGTCCGTTTTTAGAAAATGTTCCACAAATAGATTTAAAAACCTGATGATGGCCGAGGGGAGTGGGCTGAAAATGTTTGTTAATAAAAAATTCTCTCAGCAAATGGACAGGTGTTATAAGTTTGTAATTTATCTCTGCTAAGTACTTTTAGACTATTTCAATGAGATATTATCTCGTATGCTTTTTTACACCACTTGCTTTCGATTAGATGGGAGGATGTTCCTTTAAAAAGGAGGGTACCTATAGATAGCCCACTGTCATGCAACCTAGCTGAAATTATAGCACATTTCTTGGAAGCTCAAGATCATCTCCAAATTTTTTTCTTGTATTGAAATGTATAAAAGATACATTGATGATATATGCATCATCCGAAAAACTACACCACACATTGATGTATTTATCAACTGTATAAATGACAATCCATATGGGCGCATAATTGAATTAGAACAAATGAATAATAAGGAAGCACATTTTCTAGACATCAGCATCACCTTTAATGGTAATCGATATAATACTAAAATATACCACAAACCGAGCTTTATTCCAATATACATCCCAGACAACTCTAATAACCCATAAAACTACAGAGTAGCAGCCATTGGAGCACTTTCTAGAAGGACTCTCATGCATTGTAACAAAGAGCAAGACAAAAAGAGAGAAATAGAAAGAATGGCAGAGATTGCTGAAAATCATGGCTATACTAAAACCTTAGTTTCTCTGTTCACTTGCCATTTTATATACTAACTTGAAAATGAATTAAATAAAACTTCAATGAGGAATATTCCCCAGAAGAATACCTCTCCCTACTGTGTAGTTCTAACATACAAACACCATATACATTCTTTATATTGAAAAATAGCAGCATATATTAATGCAAAAATTGCTTATAGATGTAAATCAGATATATTAACTGTTTTGAAATGAGAAAGATCAAGCAGACATAGAAAGAGCAGCTATATAAAATTCCACTCAAGACAACAAGTTTGATAGAGATCATATATATATTGGGTGTACGAAAAGATCTCTCAAGCAGCACCTTCCTGAACACAAAGCTGATATAGAAAAGAAGAGAAAAACTACTGGCTTTGGCTGTATATGCCAGTGATGATGGGATTGTTAGAACAGGCTACTCTAATATGACAAATGTACCATATAAACAAGCTTAAGAATTTAGAAGCATTGGAGATATTTAAAGCAGACTGCCATGGCCTGTCTATTAATTTTAAAGATGAAGAACAAATCTCAGTCATAGCAAGCTGTATTTGACTTGATATTATAGCAAACAACACATCTGATTGGATAACAAAAGAAAATTTTTTTTAAAAAAGAAAATTATCTAAATTTGAATACATTGGGATTTTTTTATGCATTTCAAGATAGAATACTACCACTGGAAAGATTTGATTTTTTAGGGAGTTCTACCTGAGGAAGGTCCTAGGTATGGACCAAAAATGTTAGTGACATAACAGTTTTCACAACTAAGTGTAAAGCACAATAAGGTTTGTCAGTTTTATTTATAATTAAGAAAAATTTTTTAAATATTTAAAAAAATTTGTTAAAGTATTAATTATTTAGTTGTTTAAAATTGTAGCATGAAGAGGGATTGGAAAACATTTACATTCCAAAATGTGTAGTTAAAGGCAATGAAAAAGTTGTTTTAATTGTCTGGGTTTCTGTTTAATATGAATAGTTCGAGAGACATGATAAAGGTGCAAAATGTTTCTAATCACTAGTCTTGTGATTAGAAACATTTTGTCTGTTTTAGTGATGAAATAGTTTTTTACTTGTATTGAATTATTTTGGCATGTGCTTAATACTTGCACTGTAGTTATTCTGTGACATTATTGGAAAATTATTGATGTATATCTCAAAATAAAACCTCAGTACTTACTCCAGTACACAATTTAATAAACACATGTTGTTGGCCTCATTTAAGGGTCTTTGTGAGGTAGTATAGCCATTCCATCAAACTTAACAAATTATAAAATTAAAATGGTTCTTAAAGCATTCTACAAGAACATTCCATTGGTAGCATGATGTAATTTAAAAGGAACATTTCCATAGGGTTAGGATGCATACACACAATTATTATAAAATATACATATGGAAATGCTCTTTTTAAATTATCACACCACCAATGGAATGTTTTTGTAGAATGCTTTAAGAAGACTGTTTTAATTTTATGAATTTGTTGAGTTTGATGAAACAGTTGTAGTACTTGACAAAGACCCCTAAATGAGATCAAAAGTGTTTGTGTTTATTAAATTGTGTGCTGAAGTAAGCACTGAGGTTTTATTTTGAGGTATTACCTGTTGTTTCAGCTTTGACAGTTTATACTGTTCATGTATAATCATTTTTCACTGATTATTATAATTTTTATTATATAACTTATCTATCTAAATTAAATTTGAATGAATATAAATTTTTAATATATTTTTTTTTTGTAGATAGTGAATCACCACCATTACCAGGAAGCCCAATATACTCAGTACCACCAGTTTTTCCTATTAATAAGGATCATGGTTATAAAAAAGCAGCTGAAACAATTTTAGAACATACTCAAAAAGAAGTCTTAAGTAATAAAATTTCTGCTCCTTATGAAGTTCCACAGTTTCCAATTGAAGTTCATGAAACAAGAAATAAAATTCATAAACAAATTTCTATTAGGTAAATTATTTGATATAATTGATAGATGTGTAATTGTTTGCTCGATATACATCTAGCCCTCTTTTAACACGATTTTGAAATAACATGGTTGACAAAAGAAAAGTAATTCTCTTTACATGAACGATATTTGATTTTTTTTTTACACTGGGGGGAAAAACAGTTTATTTGAAAATTTTAAAATTTTACTTTTTGTTAAAACTCTGTTATTGTTGAAAGTTATTCTTTTCATTGAAATTGAGAGTTTATTTTATATATTTATTTTTAAGAAGAGTACAGTACTGAATGTTTATCAGAGAATACTGTCTGTTGATTTTGTTTTTTGAGTTAGCCATGTGTTTACTATATTTACGTACAAATAATGTTAATTATAAATGATGATAAAATAATAAGGCTCGTGTTTCTTCTGTGAAATTTTAATTTTTGTGTTCCATTTGAAGTTGTAGATACTATCAAGCATTTTTTCACAAGACGCATGTACTGTACTTTATTATGCAATTTTTGTTTTATGCAGCATTCTTTGGAACATATTTACCACACAAAAAGAGGGATAGGTGGATAATGATTAAGAAGTGATGAAGGAAATTTCCAAATATCAATAGATTAAAATATCAAGCTTGATACACGATGTGTTGATGGATAATTTGTTCTGATGTTTTAGTATACAGTAAAACCTTGTTATTTCAATATTGAATAATTCAAAGTATTATGTAATTTGAATTCAAGTCTTGTTCCTGGCAATGAAAAAAGGAATTTGCTTATATTTTAGTTTGGATAATTTGAAATATATGTGCAATGAAATTTGAAGTCATTATCTGCTCTGGTGACCCCTCAAAAATATTGTTTAATTCAAAATCTTTCATCTGTTTGCAAGAAAGTTTCCATGCCCATGGAAACTTTCTTTCAATGAGTGTCTGAACTCTTATGTGATCTAGTATGTTGTGCAACTTGTTTGATATTTTCAAGCATTGTTTGTAGAATAAGGTTTTAGAATTGATCTTTTTTTGATCATCACCTCATTTGCTTTGTAGTAGTGATATGTAGGTATTTTTAAGTAAATTTGCCTAAACTTTCATGTCTGTTTCAAGTTTTGTAATAATGTAATAGGTAAAGATGAAGAATTAATTTCTTTCTTGAGTCCACTTTATCTGTTGGCATGGTGTTTTCAGCATTGATTTGTGTCTGAACTGTTGCTGAAGCATGTTTGCTGGATTGTATGTGTCATCGATGGGTTCCTAAGATGCTCACAGACCACCACAAGATTCTAAGGATGGGCACTGCCTTGACGTTTCTGCAGCATTACCATTAGTATGGAGAGATGTTCTTGGACAAGATTGTGACGAGGGATGAGACATGGGTGTTGTTTGAAAATGTTAAGACAAAGGAGCAGTCAAAACAATGGATGCACACTTTGTCTCCAAACAAACCCAAAAAATTCAAACAATTGTTTTCCACCAACAAAAGGATGGCAAATGTTTTCTGGGACAGAAGAGGCATTTTGATGACTGAATTTATGGCACCTAGGACAACCATCAATGCAAAACTCTTCAATACCTTAGATGGGCAATCCAGAACAAAAGAAGAGGAATGCTGTTTAAGGGCAAGATCCTTTTCCATGATAATGCTTGTCTTCACACTGCAAAAATGACTCAACTCCTCCAGAGGTTCAAATGGGAGCAGTTTCCTCATCCACCATACAGCCCAGATTTAGCACCGAATGATTTTTATCCCTTCACTCAAATGAAAAAGTGGTTAGGAGGCCAGCAGTTCACAAGTGCCACAGGGCTGACTGACAGTGTTAAAGGTTGGCTGAAAGGCCAGGCAGCAATGTTCTTCAACATGGGTATACAAAAGCTGGTGTCATGGTGTGATGTCTGCCTAAATCAACAAGGTAATTATGTGGAAAAATAGGTGAAGACTGTAACTACCTTCTACAAATAAAGTGGTTCTTCATTCTTGTTTTTTTATTCTGGGTCAGTGAAAGTTGAAAAAAATAACCCTGGTACATCTATTGCACAGCCCAAATTTGGCACCCTGTGACTTTTACTTGTTTCAGCTCTGAATTCATAACTATGGGGAAACTAATTTATATCTATGACAGCAATGGTCATAGATTTCAGTTGGAGTCAAGCATTGGAGGCAGTTCTGATAAACATTGCAAAAGATAGGCTACTTGAAAGACTTGCATAAATTATAGCAAAAGTGCATTAAATTCCATGCGGGTACTTTCAGTTTCAAAAATACCAGTCATTATGTCCTAGAGTGCTTATTATGTAAGGGAAAAAATCATTTTGACTTGTAAATTATGATTATTGAAATTAATGAATTTATTTCAAATTAGATAGTATAGTTAAATATATCAATCTGTAGATTACTATAACTGTTTTGCTTTTTTCTCTTTTAAAGCTGATAGTTCTTTTTTCTGTTGTTTATTATCTTTATTAATGATTAGTTTGTCATAATTAAAAAAAATATTTTTGTTAAGGACACATGAAGATAAAAAAGAAAAGCAAACTCAAGAAGAAAATTTATCACTTCCAGTAACACCAGAAGAAACAAGCAAATGTCTTCATGAAGATGATTTTGTTCATCATTTTCAGCGTGTTTCAATTAGTGGTGAAGATACTTCTGGGGTTAGTGAAGTTTTAATTTTATAGTTAATATATAAAAATTTAATATTAAATAAAAATTATGATATAAAATATATTCTAAAGGTCAGTGCAATATTTGTTTGTGTTTAATTATGATATGTTTTTTGTTATTAGTATACATTAAAAATACTCAGTATAATTAATTGGAAGAAATTTTACTATTAAACAAGTTTTTAATAAAAATTTACTTAATAGTAATAAACAAGTTATAGTATTTTATTGTATACTTTCATCAATAATATTTTGTTTTTCTAAGTTTCAGAATATTATGATAAATCTAGAATTCATAAAATAACTGCCTCAGTACTAAATCAGTGAATCATTTACACACAACTTTGTGCAACAACATAAAAGGTTTATAATTTATGCACAGTAAGCTAGAACTTCTGTACATTAAGTTTCAAAATGCTTTTCTCTCTTTTTTTCTAGCAAATTTTTTAAAATCAAATAAACTAATGTTTTTGGCTATCTTAAATGGCCTTCTTCAGGTTAAGCATAAATGGAACTTCAGTTAGAACATGAATTAGAACATAAATTTGGAACATTGAGCTTCACTCATAAAAATATGAGTGAAGCTCGATGTTTCAAATTTATGTGTATTAGTGAAGCGTTATGTTTTAAATTTATGTTTTAACTGATGTTCCAATTATGCTTAACCTGAAGGCCACTTAAAATAGCTAAAAATGCTAGTTCATTTGATTTAATTTAAAAAAATGCTAGAAAAAAGAGAGAAAGGTGTTTTGAAATGTAAAGGTTTTATAAACTGTAAAAACTGTTTGTCATATTTAATGATTTTTGTCAGGTTGATTGTCCCAAAAATCAAACATTTTCAAATATAACAAGAATATAAATGCCAAACACAATTAAATCTAGAAAATTGTACAGTTTGCAATTTGAATATTCATATCACACTTAAGGATGACAGAATCAAGACAAGTTTTCAGAAACCCTTATGCCCTTCATTTATTCTTTGGATTTCACATGACCCATTATACTACAACTTACCCATGTTGAAAGCCTTGATTAGAAGAGCATACAATCAATGCCGTGACATCAACAGTAGGTAAAGCTCTCTACATTAAAACATTTGCAGAGCATCTTGGTTATCATCTTAGGATACAGTTACTAATAACTTGCAGAATACTGCATCTTTGTATAGATGTGATGCTATCAGAGTGAACTATAGGAGTGGTCGAGTACAACTGCCCACTCAGTAATATCTTTAAGGAAATTGGGAAAGCTATGAGCAGAAGAATATTGTACAGGAGGAACTTGACAGTTTATAAACTCCCCTGGAATGACAAAGACCTAGTGGACCCCTTGAGAATTTTAGGTGTCTACACTATACCCATCACAAATGAAAGGGTAGCACATGATTTGATATATATGGGTGCCATTGTGCAATCCTTAATTTCACGGTTAAAGGAACATAAGTATACTGTTAAGACGTCACTGTACTGTATAGTATAGTTCTAGTTGCTAATACCTAGGATGATTTGGTTCGTTGGGAAGAAATTAAGATCACCAAGCATGTCAGACCCAAGCACTGTCTTATTCTTGCTGAGGCCTTCAAAATCTAAAAATCAACACACGAGGTAAACTCTGTCAACTAGAAGAACCTAAACATGATATTAAGTGCTTGGAAATCCTGGTTTCAGGTCTACACTACATAATGCAACATGCATGTTTGGTTACTGTTTTTTTTTTTCTTTTAGTTTTTGCATGTCACAATGTAGCAGATTGTAAATTTTTTCATATTTAAACTGTGTTTGGCATTCACCTATTTATTTTGTTCTATTTCCATTTGTATTGAAAATGTTCAATATTTTTTTTGAACATCAATTCTGAATACTGGATAATTATTAAATATGACCATAATAAATCTTGTTTTGCTACTGCACACGGTTGTATGTAGGTGATTAAGTGATTAATTTTGAATAAATTTCATGTTATAAAAATGTTTGGAAAATCTCAGTTACAAATGCAGAAGTTAGAAATGAGATAATTAATTTCTTAAAAACATATAAAAACATCATGAATATCTTTGCTTTCTTTCCATCGTTCACACCAGTGACAGTCCAAAAACAATTCTTATATATGGAGACAATCTTTCCTTTGAGGTTACATTCCCACATCATCATATAAATGGAAGCAGTATTTCTGGTAAATAAGTCATGGAAACATAAAATAGTGATTTAAAATGGGCAGTGCTTGACTGCCATTTTTCATTAGTTTTCTCTTACTTTTAGGGTTACTGCTTTTTTCACTTTTTTTTTCTTAATTTAATTACTTTTTGTCTTTTGAATTTATTTTTATGCTCTTGTGGGTTAGTTATATTATTTTTGTTATTTTATGTATCTTATTTTTTTATTTTTATTGTGTTTTATTTATTTTAATTATTTTTATTATGTAGTTAATGTTTTAAGTTTTAAAAATGTTTGACATTTATAGTTTTTATTCTATTCTATGTTACTTTTCATCATATTAAACATATAATCAACATAACAGGACAATAACCCCTGGATAAAATTCCAATGTAAAAATCCCCTAAGGACAATATGGTCTCTCTAAAAATAGACTTCTCCTGAAACTAAAAGTTTTTTTGAAATTTATTTAACACAACAAAATCCTGATACAAATTTTTAAATAATGCAGATATCCTTGCTTAATGGGATTTGATTAGCGTGTAAAATTAATTGCTGAATCATTTACACACAACTTTGTGCAACAACATAAAAGGTTTATAATTTATGCACAGTAAGCTAGAACTTCTGTACATTAAGTTTCAAAATGCTTTTCTCTCTTTTTTTCTAGCAAATTTTTTAAAATCAAATAAACTAATGTTTTTGGCTATCTTAAATGGCCTTCTTCAGGTTAAGCATAAATGGAACTTCAGTTAGAACATGAATTAGAACATAAATTTGGAACATTGAGCTTCACTCATAAAAATATGAGTGAAGCTCGATGTTTCAAATTTATGTGTATTAGTGAAGCGTTATGTTTTAAATTTATGTTTTAACTGATGTTCTAATTATGCTTAACCTGAAGGCCACTTAAAATAGCTAAAAATGCTAGTTCATTTGATTTAATTTAAAAAAATGCTAGAAAAAAGAGAGAAAGGTGTTTTGAAATGTAAAGGTTTTATAAACTGTAAAAACTGTTTGTCATATTTAATNTACCAGTTATCTTAACCTAACATAGATATCATATTTGATTAATGCGATTTTTATATACGTGATAACATTGAGGAATTAATTGCATTAATCAAGGTATATCTGTACTTAAAGTTAATATGCTCAATTTTACCAAAATGTATAGACATTTGTCTACAAGTTGCCCAACTTGCTATTCCACAAAGTAATTAGAATTCTCTCTGATTATATTTCTGTTTTTCTAAAAAAGAATGTCTAACATAAGTTTGCCAAGTACATTGGTGATGACAGCGTAAAGTCATTATTATCTCTTGTAATCTGTATACACAATAACAATCTTTACATAAGAATAATTAAAAATTAATAAATTTGTATAAATTTATTAATTTTAATTAATTAATTATGTACTTAAAGTTAATATGCACATTTCATGAAACAATTTATCAATTACAGTCATTTATAGTTGAAATATTGAAATTACTGATGAAAGTTGCAATTTAATATTATTATGTAAATAACAAAGTTCACTAACTTCAGCACCAGAGTAAAATCCTCTCTTCCCTGAACCTATTACCGGCGTGTAACACGTGTAAGAAATATACAGCAGGTGACAAACATTTTCTAACTGAGAAGAGAGGATTATATAAATATTATTAGTTAGAGAGTGGTGTAATCAGTGGCATAGCGAGGGTGGTGCAAGGGGGTGTATCATGCACCAGGCACCACTCGCAGAGGGGCGCCCAAATGGTCTCCAACACAAACTATATATGTTTTGGGAGGGGCGCCAATAAGGTGTCGTGCCCCGGGCGCCAGTTATATTCTCAACACTACTGGGTGTGATCACAGTAGCTGTGAACAATGATAAGAATCCATGCATTTGACTCAACATATTTCTTTCTCAGAGCTTGTGACAGATGACCAGCCAGAATTTGATTGGAGTAAACTTGTGTAATGCTTGTTCTTTTTGAAGAAAGTCAATTTCCAAAAGGTGAGATGGAAATTTCCAATGTCGGACTGAAAACATCTATGCCACAGGTTCTTAAACTTATTTCAACCATCACCCACTTTGAGATTAAAAAAAATCTAGTGCCCCCATATTTTTTAACTTACCTTTTTACATTATCATCTGTTGTGTATCTTAAAAATAGTTATTGCAAATATAATGTTTAAACATGTATTATTATATGGATAGGATAGATAGGGTGCGATCCATATCCTATTTCTGAGATCAAAGAATGTTTCAATGAGAAGAAATAAAACTCATATTTAATCACTGAGCCTTCTACTGCCCCCCTGAAAGCCTCCAGTGCTCACAAGGGGCCACTTTGAGAAACTGATCTATGCCATCTTTCCATTAAAATATTTGTTTTTTGGTAATTCATCTTTGGATTGTTGATATATATTCCACATCGTGATGGCATAAGTTGGTTTCCATTGTTCATTACATTGTGTGATTAAATATTGTGCAGTAATGTTTATTGGACGCTATATCACATGAAAGAAAGCTTCAACTTGCTTGGACTGTAAACTCCATGACTGATTTGCATAATCTTGATTAATAATACACATTTGCCATAGTAGTTTGTATTGGTTTTCATGATTTGTAAAATAACTAAGGTGTTTTTAACATTTTTTATTTTAGATTTTTTATTGTTTGTTGTTTTGAACCTGCTGAGAGTCAGATAAAGAAGTAAGCAAGATGACACTCTAAACAATTTAGGTACTTTTAGGACTCAAATCTTTAGGCAAACATTCATTGACAATGCATTAAGTACTACATTAATTGGCTATTGCCAAACTCTCAAAATTTAAAAATGGATATTTAAAGTTATTTAACTATTGATGTTTTTTTCTGCGAAAAAGGTCAATAGACATGGGAAAACTGCTAAACTTTTTTCCATGAAAAAATGAGTTTTAATTGAATTAAGAAAGAAAGTTTAGGTGATAATTAGCACATAATTGATTTAATCTACTGGCATTTAAAATTGGGGTTTATTCTCCAAGGGATTTTTATGTGGAGGTTTAATATCTGGGGAGGTTATTATTTAGAAGAGATTTTATATGGGGGTTTCTGTCTGGGAGGGTTATTGTCCTAGAACCTTAAATTGTTCAATTTAGAATGTGTAAATCTGAAGGTCTTAAAAAAAAAACTGAAAATGTTTGTTGTTAAAATTTTTATGCTGCTTTAAAAGGTTGAATGAGTCCTAATATAAATTAAGTTTATTAGAGAAATCAAATAATTTTGGACCTGATATGTTTAACCAGTTTTTTTTTTTTTTTTTTTTTTTTTTTACATAGACAAGTTTGACTTTGTACATTACATTGATTTATTATAATGTAAGTACAGGGTGATTCAAAAGTCACAGGCATTTTAAAAAATTAATAACTCATAAACTATTTACAGTAAGATGATGCAGTTTTTACAGAATGCTTAGAAAGAAGTGGGATTTCTTTTAGGTGTAATAAAAATTTTAGTACCAAAATAGTTACATTTCTTGCCATAGATGGTGCTGTAGCATTTATAAATTTGTTAAAATAAGAATAAAAAATAAAAATGTTTTTAGTGTAACAATTGCACAAATTATGTAGTATTATCTATGGCAAGAAATGTAACTATTTTGGTTCTAAAATTTTTATTACATGTAAAAAAAATACTGCTTCTTTGTAAGCATTTCTGTGAAAACTGTTTCATCTTACTGTAAATAGTTTGAGTTATTAATTTTTTAAAATTTCTGTGACTTTTGAATCACCCTGTATATCTGTAGCTGAATTTTTTATTACTGTTGTTTTAGACTTTACATAAATTTTTATTTATGACCTAATACTTAGCTGTTTTTATTTTAATTGTTACAGGTCCCTCTAGAAGATCTACAACAAGCATCAGAGTTATTAATCCAAGCTGTTAGGCTCAGAGAAAGATATATGGCATTTTCTTCTCAGTCATTCCCAACTTTAACATCTCGTTTCTTGCGATTAGCAGATGGTCTGCTTTTAGAAGGATTTGAGAATAAACAGACTCATAAAAGTGAAGGTATATTTACCTTTATTAAACGATCTGAAATTATTTTTAACGTATCTTTATACTGTAGACAAATTAGGCATTATGTACCAGTACAAATTGTTTATTAAATATAGTAATTTATTTTTTTTTCCAATATATAAAATTCAATTATGAGTAAGAGGGAAAATTTATAATTAAAATATTTTCTTTCTGAAAGTAATTGAAATAATAAGTAGGTTAGGTTATGCAACAAAAATATAAATTTAGATTTATTCATTTCTTAAAAATAATAGTAAATTATAGTTAAAAATAAAGTTAATAAATTTAATAGGTAAAAGGTTTTTGAAGGTAATTTAGACTTTAGTTTTGGATCCAAATTTTCAAGTTTACTGTTTATCTAAATATATAAAATTGCTTGTCCTGACTGACTGACTCACTGACTGACTGATTCATCATCACCCAGAGCAAACCGCTTCACCTAGAGAGGTGAAATTTGGTAGACAGTTAGGGTACGTCGTGGAAACGCACACTAAGAAGGGACTTTTTGAAATTCCTCCGCTCTGTCNTGCGTATTGGTTCGATTATAGAACGATTGTAAACGTTCCAGAAAATTGATTAAATTGAAAATAGTTCGTTTGATTCTCGGCAATTCTCTTCAGCGGTAGGTGTTATATGACAATTACTATGGTTATTGAAATATTGAATGTAAATGGGGTTTGCTTGCAAAACCTCCGCGGACGAAGTTGCGGGTAACAGCTAGTGTTTTTATATATTTCGATTTCTTAACCAAATGTTCGAACCGTTTTAAATTCGAATTTGTTATTGCGTATTGGTTCGATTATAGAACGATTGTAAACGTTCCAGAAAATTGATCAAATTGAAGATAGTTCGTTTGATTCTCGGCAATTCTCTTCAGCGGTAGGTGTTATATGACAATTACTATGGTTCTTGAAATATTGAATGTAAATGGGGTTTGCTTGCAAAACCTCCGCGGACGAAGTTGCAGGTAACAGCTAGTGTGAATATAAAATGCAAAAACAAAAAATTTAAACATACTTTTTACAGTAACTTTAAAAAATATATTAATTTTTTTATAAAACATAAAAAAGTAAACTGGTTTGTTTGTTTGTTAAACAATAAATCATAGTGTATATTTTTTGTGGAATTTGTGTGAAAATTGGTCAGATCCATAAATCTAAAGATATCATTATACTTTTAACTTAGGCAATAAGCTCTTTTGAACAAGTTATAGTAATAATCCTGAACGTAAATTTTTTAATTTATGTAATACTCATATTAACAAAACATTTAAACTTGAGCAAACAAGAAGCAAAATATTATTAAAAATAGAAATATCTATAACTCTGTCTGAGATTGTCAGATAAAGAAGATAAGGTATTTTGGAGTGATCTGTGTTAATAATATGTGAATCAAAAATTTCAGTCAGTCAAATTGCATCTGTTGAAAATCTTATTGTAGCTTGTTCTAAAGATTCTATAATTAATGAATGACAAGAACCATCTTTAGAAAATTGGATTTCTATATGAAATCCACATAAAGGAGGATAAACGATGAACTGTGGCTGTTATCTAAGAACTAAAAAGAGCTAAATAGAGTTTAACTTGCTTTTTTTTACATCACATAATGACTAGGAACTTTGCCTCCAGGCTGCCTAAGGCTGCACAACTTCCTGTTTGCTTCTCTCACTTGTTCCCAACACAGACTATTTATAACTAGGAGAATTTTGTTCCAGACTGAAGCATAGTGATGACTTGTGAACTTGCATTAGATCATTACAGGTGCTAAATTAAAGTGACTAGTTACTATGCTTAAACAGTGAATTTTTACCTTTGTTCTAAAATGTTTTTAATTTATTATACTTTGCACTTGTTTATTATATATATTAATATATAATAAGACTATTCAGGAATTTCTTCTATTCAAGAAAGACCATATTTATCCATTCCTCCCTAAATCAATATATATGATTTATGAATAAACCCTTATGCTGTATACGTTCTCGTGAGTGATTTCCATTGATGTATGGTCAATGAGTGTCTCAACTCTTATGTGATCTAGTATGTTGATATATGTTGTGCGACTTGTTTGATATTTTCAAGCATTGTTTGTAGTATAAGGTTTTAGAATTGTTCTTTTTTGATCAACACTTCATTTGCTGTAGTAGTAATATGTGGGTATCAACTGTAGTAGTAATATGTGGGTATTTTGAAATAAATTTGTCAGGTAGTATACTGCCTAAACTTTCATGTCTGTTTCAAGTTTTGTAATGATGTAATAGGTATATATAGATGAAGAATTAAAATCTTTCTTGAGTCCACTTTATCTGTTGGCAAGATTTTTTAGCCTTGGTGATCTGTGTCTGAACTGCTACTGAAGCATGTTTACTGGGATGGTATGTGTCGTCCATTTTGTGTGAGTTGGCAAAAATGTGTTTGTGATGCAGTAGCTATACTTGGCCAGTGCTACATTCACCACTGGTATCCAAGGGAGACTGTCACAGAGTTTTCAAACATGAGCCTCTGTCTAACCCACAGATATAGACCTTGTTAACTTGAGTGAGTTGTGCTATGAATGTTTAATGTATAATAACAAGCCTATTTGTTTTCTATACAGAAATGAGTATGCTTTTGTAAACCTTAAGCAACTGATCTACAAAACACATGGCTTATGACATGGAGCCCAGATGCTGTTTAGTAACCAAGTTAAACACCAAGTTAAAGAGATAAGAGAGCTGTCTGTTCATGGTTATGGACTTTGCTGTTTAGTAACCACCCTCTCAAGATTAAATACTGCTTGCGGGTCACTTTTTACTTCATTTCTCTCCATAGATCTTATTAGTATGGTGGCCTAATTGGAAGCTTGTGTTCCTAATAGCTTATCTCTATGGTTTACTGGAACTACTAAGTTCTCTCAACTGGACAAGGTAATGACTTGTGAGAGAGATTGTATACTGTATTTTAATAATAATGACAAGATAAAGGATGCAATACAATAAAAGTTTCATTGTTTGGAAGACATTTTGTATTTTCAACTGAAGATTTAAGCGTTTGTCTTGATATTCATTTTTCAGTTTTATTTACTTTATAATTACATCTACAATGAAATGCTAAAGGAAATAGAACATCAAAAACTAAAATGTATTTTTTTTTTTTTTTTGAGATGATGCTTCCTAAACTGCTTACTGGTCATGCTTTCAGTGGCACACCAAAGGTATGATGTGCCACATTGCAAGTTACATCAAGGCTTATTTCTGTTACAATAATTTTTTTATTGGGATATATATATATATGTGTGTGTGTGTGTGTGTATAGGTATAAATTAAGCTGTTGCATGTCTTGTTTGTACAAATTATGCCCAGTATGTTTTCCAAAATTTAATATTTAATGAACTTATGAAAGATACATTTTTAAAAGTTGATTATTCTTTAGTAACATATCTAGCATAAAACTATTTAAATGAATATTTTAATAATATTTAAATGGTATAAATAATTATATATAATAGTTATCAATATTTTACATTTAAGGATATACAGAGAAGTTTCCAAAACGGCAAAAACGTAAAGGTATTTTTTGTACCTTTGTGTGTGTGCTGTTATAATTTATTGATAGTGGAATTAATTGATATTTTGTTTACTAACATATTTTCAGTTTGCTTATAATTGTTTTGAAAATCAATAGCTGAATCAATAACAATGTGCTATAATAATGTATGGTTTAGTCAATAATTTTTTTTATTGATTTAATAAGCTGATACATTAACAACTAAAGTCAATGAAAGTGTTTTGATTTGCTTGTCAAAAATTAAATGTTTTACCTGAAACTAAATTATTTCTTGTAAGACAATAGTTAATTATCAGATTTTATTCTGTCATGGTTTTATATATATATTTTTTATTAATCTAATAATGCCTGTAACTAGATTTTTTCATGTTTGAGTTTTTTGTAGTTAAAACATTATTGAACTATGAAATCTTTAAATATTAAGCTGATTTTTTTTTACTTAAATTATTTAATATATACTAGTTTCCACGAATTAAAGAATAAAATGAAGTTTGAAGAAATATTTATCATAAAAATGACTAAACTTAATGCTTGCTTGCAAATTATGTTGCTGATTAATATTGTCAAAACAAATTAATATATATTATTTCTGGATATGTAAATCAGCCAACTTTAAAAGATTAATGGTTCTGAAGATAGATTCTTGTTTGAATCACAGTGAAACAAGAAAACAATAGAATTTTAGATTCTTAAGATAATATTTACCATAATTTTTTTCAAAAGATATAATCAGTGGAAAGCTTGAATATGGCACAATTCAAATGAGAAATATTTTGAGGTTAAGAGTTATTAGTTTTCCTTTACAGGCTTTGAGACTAATTCCTGGATGCAAATACAAAACAGTCAAACTTCTGGTTTTGAATGGCTCATTTTTCAAACAAATTGGTTCATGAACAGAATTTCAAACTTGTAATTGTAGTTGCCAAACAAGCTACTTGGCATGAGCTAGCCACAGATGGTTAGCTCCCTATACTTCCTATGTTAAAGAAAGTCGACAGCCCAACCAATCTAGAACAGGACTACCAATTCAGAAGCTAGTGGCACTGAGATTGCCTCACATCATCAGACATCACAACATGAATAATTGATGACGTAGCTATTTAAATTAGATTTCACTGCACAGGCAGGAAATATACTACTACCTTTTTTGGTATGCTCTGCAGTTGAAATTAACTTTAATTAATAAAAACCATGTTAACTGACATTTATGTAATATAAATGATATTCAAGAATTTGTGTTTAAAGGTTAAGATGAATGAAATTGTCTTTCTTATTTATAACTTTATTCTTTATTCAGTTGGTATGTTATAATATTACATTGCATTTTTATGCATGAAATACAGCTAAAAAGGTAAAAAAAAAAAAAGACTATTTTGGGGTCAGGAACAGATTAATCCATTTTATATTGTTTTCTGTGGGAAAATTTTTTTTGGTTTTAGAACAACTTTTAGGAACATTTTGTTTGAAAACTGAGGTTTGACTGTAGTGTAGTTTGAATTAATAGTTTTTAGTGGAGAAGGATGATACATCAAAGACTACAAGGTATGATGGATAATAATAAGAGGGTTATTCATGTTACTATAAGGCAACAGAACATTATCTCTTAGCAGCAGTTTCTTTCTTTACAAATCTTAAATCAGCTTAACAGAAGAATTAAACAGTATATTGACTTCATGAATTGAGCATTTAAAAATTTTTTTAACTTTTTCAAAAGAACTTTAATTTTGTTATTGAAACTATAAAATGAACTTTTCAAAAAAAGAAAAGCAGAAATTTGATTTAAAACAAAAACCAGATATGTTCTGTTTTGAAATATATAGAACCCTTTTTATAAATTCCTTTATGCATTTTTAAATGTTTAAAAAATATCTTGAAGTAAGTTTTAAAAATATGCAGTGATATTGTAATATGTGGGATTTTTTTCTGAAACATATGAATAAAGATACAGCAAATTATTTCATGGAAAAACATCAAATTTTAGGAGATGCAATAGCATGAACTTGAGCTATAAAATTATCTTTATTAATGCTATTTTAAGTAGATAAATGAAAATTAAGAGGAATTTTTTTTATTAATTAACAATATATGATATAAAGAAATTTATAATGTAAATATGTTTGCTGCATGAGAATACAGTAATTACTTTTCTATTAAACTGGTTAGTAGAATTATGATAAAAGACCAATGTTTTAGACCACATAAAAATATTTTACTTGATTACTTTTATTCATCTAAATACAGTTCATCACCAGGTAATTTATACTCAGAGATCAGATGTTTTATATTAGATAGAATAGTTCCACTTTTTAATATTCTGACCTTATTTTTAAACTGTTCAAAAAATGTCTCTGTTTTGACTGTTTCATAAATGTATTCAAAAGCAACCAATATCTTTTGCGTGAATTGCAAGTCAAAGATGAATCACATACAGTTTGATAGAAAATGTGTGGAAATTTTTGAAAAGAAAAATGACTCAATGCTGTCCTTGTATATTAGAACAATTACATATGTACAGGATTCCTACCCTCCTGAAAAGTCCAGGATTTTCATTAGTGTTTGGAAAAAGTTATGGAAAGTCAGGAAATTTGTCTTTTTGACTGACTGCCTTGTTGCTTTTTGTTTGCTGACAATATGGTTGACTAAGTGTAGCCATTGGCAGGCAGCAAGAAGTAGTGTGGTGCAATTCAACTTATGAACAGAGATACACAATTTTCCCCAAACATACAGAAAATTTCTTCAAGATTATCGCACTCAAAGAAAACCATAGCTTAGGGATTAATAATAATTACTATATAGTTTGGAAAATTCAAATTAAATCATACAAATCATTAAATAGGCCTACCTTATAATTTTCCATGCAACATTAAGCTTATAAATTAACATAAAAAATATTTTAGGTTAAAAGAATACTTTAAGCATGTGTCATGGTCATAGGATAGCATATACAATTACGAATCAGCCTGCATAGAAGCCAAGAATTCAGCAAAAATTTCATTGAAGCAAACATTTTTATCCGTATTTTATCGGACGTCATCAAACTGTAGAATTTGAAAATGGGGTCTCACTGTTTGAATATTTGAATCTAATGTGTTATCATTTGTCGATTGGTGGAGACATTTCAAATCTGGGCAGTTGCTGATTGTTCTAATGTTCAAGGACAGTGTTGAGTCATCTTTCTTTTCAAAAATCTCCACACATTTTCTATCAGACAGGTCTGGGCATAAATGCTTGCCAGAAGATACATTTATATGATTAGATAGCAGCCTGGCTTTCGTTTTCATGGATAGGCATTCTCATGCTGTAAAATATAGGCTTGTCTTTTGAAAAGTTTGTTTTGAATTACATAGATGGTACTGAAAAATTAGAATATAGGCTTTAGAGTTCACAGCACTATCAAAGAAATGGAAATCTTCAAGTTCTGCACTTATGCATCCCCAAACTATACAGAAACTGTAGTTGCTCGACTCATCTTGAACAACATTCTGGATTATTAGCTTCATCTTTAGTACAAATGACTTTCTTGCCTATACTCCCATGGTTTTCATGAAATGTTGATGAGAGATTCCTGTATGTACCTGTGGTTTATGCTTGATAGAGGAAATACAGTTATTTGATTACATTTCAAGTACAATTAAACTGTAATGTCTAATTTTTTGATACCCAGAAATAACTTAACATTTACGGCATTACAAAAAACAAAATGAGGATCAGTTGGTGCCAGGCCTGGACTTACAAATGGGCAAACACAAATGAATTTGTTCAAAAAAGAATATTGATTAATGTTAGAAAAATTCAAAAATAAATACTTGACAATTTGTCAAACACTAGATTTATTATTATTCTAAGATTGACTATGTACAATCGTTGTTAATACAACATGAAAGCGTTATACAACAAGAACTAGACAAATTGTAAAATTCTTGGTTTTGTTTTGAAATAGATAAATTTTTATTTATTTACTTCAAAACAAAACCAAAACAGCAATTCACAAAACTTTCCTGACACTTGGGAACTTAGAACTGACTTAGAACTATTCTTAAGACTTTTTCTATAAAACTTGACAAGTAATATAAAACTAAACTACCATGTATCTCGGCAGATAAGATGATAGTTGAATCATAAAAAAAAAGTCCCCCAAAATCCAGGGTTGTCTTCAATTCCTTTTCATATTGAGTCAACTTCAGTCGGTTATTGGCCAGAGTCTGTATGAGACCAGACCATGGACAGTTCTCTCATGTAAGAGGGACAGCTGGCATTCAGACAGGAGTGGTCTCCATCTGCAAATCCAACATATGAAATACAACCTGTACAACATATGAAAAGGAATTGATGGAACATACAACCGCAGGTCTTTGACCTAACCCTCAGTATCTAAACCAGGCAGGGCTAACTTAAAGCCTCTCTACCCATTCAAAGTAAACGTGGGGATCCTCAGGCCCTCGCCAGTCACATGGCCAATGTAGGTAAGGCCATTTTAGGGCTAGGATTTTGTTAGGCTAGAACCTACCTGGCTCAGAACAGAAGCGCAATGCTTATGAAAGTAAGAGATTACTGCATTTCAGCAGTGTCATTTTGCACTCTGTGGGAGTGCACATCAAACAGTGGCTACAAGTTTAGTCCAAAATTATGTTAATAAACAGTCTGCCAAGCTGTAGATAGAAAAAGTTCCTTTTTTTGATTGATAAAGTTCTTCCTTAACAAACTATAGTTCCTTTACAAACTTGAGCTGTAGTTTGTTAGTTGTTACAGGTCCTCTTGTGTATGCCCATACTGACGCATAGCATTTTACTTTGTTTTTTATACTGTTAAAGCTCCAATTCATTCCATTTTTTAAATTGGTTTCATTTTTAATAGACACTGAATTTTGCTTTTTTAATGGACATTTGAATTTTAATTTTTCTGTGATTGTGTTCCATCAACAAAACAAAAAAATTCAGGACTGAAGTAGGACTTGGAGCAGCCCAAAAATGTTTGTGCAATGTGTGTATGAATGCTTACATGCCTGGTTTATCTTTCCATAAGAATGCCTTCTACATATTTCGCATATACTGTAGTCCTGTTTGATAAGTCTGCTTTACCTACTATAGAAATAGAAAAGCTCCATAAAAACTTTATTTCAAATAACCTAAATGCATATCACAGAAAACTAAACAATTCTACACACCTTGTGCAACTTTTGCATAGCAAAAACTGGGAGACAACTTATATTTTATGGTATGCAACTTTGAATCATTTTATCATCCATAAAGATTGAACCGTGCTTCTGTATGCTCTGGGACGTCTTTTTATAAAACATACATGATTATTATAAACACCATAAAAACATCTTGGAGCTAGCCAATTTAGTTTGTTATTCTTCCTCCTTCCAGTTAGAAGGAACAATGTACTTACAATATAGAGGAGTACCATGGGCAGTCCTCTCTCAAGCTCATTACTCAAACTGGTCATAAGATGCCTAGAAGAAAACATACTCCCAAACTTTGAAAATAGAATTGAAGTGTACATGAGTTATGTAGATGACATTCTCATTGTATGGAAAGATAAACGGGCAGCAAGCATTCATATGCACAATCAACAACCTGTATGGTCTAAGACTGAACATGGAGCAAGAACACCAGATAGAGGTACACTTCCTAGCCCGTGAAATAACATGCAAGGAGTCCATCAAATCCACCAAGGTCTACAGGAAACCAAAATACATTCCAGTGCTAATACCTGCCACACAATTCCTACTCATTCACTATACAGCAGTTTTTAAATCTATAATAAAAAGAGCATATGCCCACTCATCAGAACAAAAAAGCAGGAGTTAGAGCTAAAATATATATAAGAGTTAGCAGTAAAGTACAGATCTGAAAAGAGGAACATTGAAGGCCTGATTTAAGCAATACCAAAATAACACCAATAAGAAACCTGCAGCACCACAACAGTACAGAAGCATAATGTACAAGATGCACTAGCAAATAACTATAAGGAGATTGCAAAAACCAATAAAATTGCATTAGCATACGGAAGAAGCTCAATGATATAGAGGCTACTCTGCAACAACAAAGATACTATCAACAGGTCCAATCTTCCAGGGGTGTATGCAGTGCTGATAACAGACATGACATGGGTGTAGCGAGGGAGGCCTGGGTGAGCAAGGCTTCTCCCAGGGAACCTGGTCCCCCCCCAGAAAATCAGAGCCAAAAAGGTGTAAAGCTAAAAATTTTGAATGCTAAAACAAAAAAAAAAAAAAGGTCACCGGCTTGCTTGGTGCCCAATGTTGTAATTAAAGAAAGTTTCATATTTCATGTGTGTTAAGTTATTGTCGATTATCCTTTAATTTTCATTTTAATGAACAATAATTTGAAATAATTCAATTTTGTGTCAGGTTGGCCTCTACTAGGCCCCCATAACAAAACTCTGGCTACGCCCATGATAACAGAACAGGAAAGCATTTGCAATTAATAGGAGCTAATACAAGACCTTTACAGCAACACCTCCAAGAGCACATAACATTGATAAAAAAGAGACAAAACAATACTGCTTTATCCACTGTAGCCTTGGAAGAAGACACTGCATACACATGTAGATCAAACTAAACTGTTACACTGCACAGGTAAAAAAATGCAAATATGGCATCTGGAAAAATCAAAATTTACAAGGTGGGAAAGGGAGAAATGGCCATAAACTATAAAAACAGTAACTCATTGATCCAGGCATGGAGAGACTTATACAAGATATAAAAAATATCATACTGCAAACATGTCATATGTTACTATTGTTCTGTTAGTGCTAATGAGTGCTAAATTTTAAACAGTGCACACAGTTTATCATTTTAATAAAATGTTTGATACAAATGTCATCATATGGCCAATAAAAAAATTTGTTTTATGTTCAAATGACTGCAGAACCTCAAGATGGAGGCATAAGGACTCCAAAAACGTTAGTTTTGATGCTGATATCACACATTACTACTGTAGTTTGGGTATTTTAAGTAAGTTTGTTTTTCTGTTGATTGTTTTAATATCAAATTGTTATAGAAGCTATAATAAATAGCCATAAATAACTTGAAACCAATAGAAGGGCAGTGAAAAAATTAATTAGTCAAATTAGTCAAAAACCAATTGATATCCAAATTAAACATTTGAGATGTATAAAATATTGTGCCAAGGCAAATTTTTTCTTGAAAGCTTCTCTTTCGTAAAGTTAGCTTGGTAGTTCAAAGTGATACCAAAAGCATTTACTTTCCCATCACTAACTACAAGTGTTTGGTGGTTTTATCCACTTGGCCACTGGTGGACCTTAAATTAATAAAAGCTATTTCTGAAAATATAGAGCATGTCATGTGAGATACACACATTATTTTGCTATGAAATGGCCTTTATGGGTTAATATCATTTTGATATCTAAATTTATCCAAGTGTTTGTTTTCTAAGAAATTTCTTTAGATACTAATTAATTAATTAGTGTTTGCTTTACTTCATGTTTTATCAATAGTAAATTTTGAGGTTAGAGTTGCCAGAGTCAAAAGAATTTTACTGACTTTGACTGTACCCAAAAACATCTAACTCCACAACACTTGTTCACTTTAAGTTGTGTTGATTATTAATAAGCCTTTTACATTCTGATAAGGTTATCACACTGCATAAAGACACAACTGATTCTAGGTATACTTGTCAGTTGTTAATGCTAAACAATTAACAATAAAAATACTCTGACATCAAAAAGAGTGCTAATGTACTTAAAGTAAAATTATACAAACATCGAAGACTTGTTATGCAAGCTGTACATTTGTGTCAATAGAGAGATTGCGGCCGAAGTTTTCATCTCTAAAACGTGATCGTCAAACGTTGAGCGCCACCATCTTGTAAGCCTATAAGTTTGACAATGGCATTCGGAACATTGAGCATGATTCCAATGACATTCCAAATGCCATTATCAAATGTCTAGTCTTACAAGATGGCAGCGCTCAATGTTTGACATTCACGTTTTAGAGATGAAAACTTCGGCTGCAATCTCTCTAATGAAAAATATTAATGAGCACTTCTTAGTTTTACCAGGCCTCATAAAATTTTTAACCTTACATCATTAATGTCTTAGACTTCAGATAAGAAAACCAAAAGTATTATATAATAAAATGTTTTATTCTAAATCTTAATAATTTAGCAATTCTAAAAATTTTTTAAGTTTTAAACAGCTACATGTCACATTGTCACATATTAAAATAAAAAGAATCATGTATATCACTGTGTCAGTATTATGATTTTTTTCTAATTATCAATTTTAATGAAAATTTTAGTTTGAAAAATGTGTCAGAAATTATTAGTAAATGTAGGAACAACTTGTTACATATTACAATAATAATGACATTAAATAACAGGATTTAAGTAATAATGATTAATGGAAAAAGTTTTTCTTGTGCTGAAATGTACTAGACCAATTAATTGTTAGCCAAACTATAGTCCAAATAATACAGTCCAAATAATGCTTATTGTAGAATATTTGAGCTTCATTGTTTATGTCTATCTATAATGATTTGTTAACAGAAATGAAACAGAAAAAGCAATATTTTAATGCTTAAGAAAGTAACCTTTAAACAGTACTGGTAATTACCTCTCTTTTGATCCCAGATGCATGGGAGTGTACAGTAGGGTGGATTATATGGCTTTATTTCTGTTGCAATTTTCTGCAGAGAATAGGTTATTGTGGGTTATCTGCACAAAATTAAAGTAAATAGTTTTATTTAAAAAGTTATTTTATTAAATTATAAAATTGCATTATGATAAAATTCAATATTAATTTAAAAAAAAGCTGAAAACACAATACCAAATTGAATATAAAATTAGTCCAAAAAGCTCTTTCAGTGTAAAAATGAACTTTTTATTATTTATCTGCCTGAAGGTGATAATGCACCATTAAAACTGTTTGCATATTTTTTAATTAAATAAAAGTGTTTATTTTAGTGTTTAACACAGATTTTTTGTACTTACTTTATATTCAAGATTTAAGTAATATAATAGGTGTTTATAAATGAACAAAATGTTTAGAATAGATTCACAATTAAAATTACTCAAAGGATTAGTATAAAATTTATTTTCAATAACATCATCTCTCCTAGAAGTCAGTTTTTAATATTAAACATTTAATATTAAAGATACTTTGACATCTAAAAGAGTACTAATGTGTTGTTAATTATTAATAGAGTTAATAAAGTAAATTTTAAAGGATTTTACTTTTGAAATATATAGATCATCTGTCTCATTCATCACCAATAACAAAAAATCCTTGGGATGTAACACTTCCAAATGACTTTGGTTATTATTTAAAAATGGAAGATGGTGTGATACAATGCTACAGTTCATATGAAAATATGGAAAGTGGAAAACGACAAAATTATCCATTCCCTTCTCTTATGGAATTTGTTGCAGATATGACTTTACTTTGTGCTATGATTGCTGATGGTCCATTGTAAGTTATTTATGTTATCATTACTATCAGATTTAAGTTTAAAATTGATTATTGGAATAATTAATAGTTAACTTTTTCAATGTATTAAATTTTCTGTTTCCCATGTAAAATCTTAATATTGTGCATGTGAAACAGACATTAGAATGTATCTTTTTTATAAATTGACTGCCCCCTCCAATTATTTCCAAAACATTAGAAGAGAATGACAAGTGATTGAAGCCTATGGAATAAGCAAAAAGAACAAGCAGGGTACAAAACCACCTACCATTATATACAACTTCAAATAGATTGTTAGGAGAATTATTGATATATAATTAATAAAATAAATGGAATATTTGTCATAAAAATTTACCTTTAATTTTCCATCATTTGTTTTGTGTGAACAAGTACTTTGAAACCTTTTAAAGGATCCTCTTCAGGTTCATCAATATTGTAAAAATTACTTCAAATAACAAATGAACAGCTAGATTCATTTATTGGACTATTAAGGCTAAATGATTACTAAGTAATTTGGCAGGATATGATTATATCTAAATTAGTTATGTAGTCTGGAAGTGAAGATTGGACAGAGGTCCATGTAGTATAACTGGCAAAATGTCTGCAGAGTAAGCAGAAGCTGCAGGTTTGATTCCCCTCTGGGCTAAGTTTTCCTTCCAGAATATTGTAAAATGAAATTATTTATTTATAATTATTAAATTTATCAAGAGATGACAGCCTAAGCTACTTCTAGACAAATTACTTAATTAATTGATTAATTGGCCTTAATAGTCTGATAAAGGAATCTGGCTGTTTGTTTTGATATTTGAAGTAATTATTGAGTTGGTGTAGTTATTATATTGTAAAAATTATAAAACTAGTATAAAATCATTATTGAACAAGTTTAGCAGAACATGTTTGAAAACACTGATTTGTTTAATTATTTTTAAATATCATAAGATATTTAAAAATAATTAAACGGATCAGTGTTTTGTATGGGTGAAAATTAAACATATCACTATGAATTGCAAATTGTTTCCATACCTCCAAAAGAACAACTTTAAAGGTAATATATTTAAAAAAATGTCTGAAATTGAATGTAAAGTGTTTTGTGCATTTGATAGAGATTCTTAATTTTATTTGTTAAAACAATTATTCTTGAACTGTTTATGTATTTTGAACATCTCACTATTATGTACTAATGTAATTAACAAATTTTACTTCATTCCAATATATTTCATTCTCTTACATTCTTACAGATTTTGATAATGTTGTTTTTATTGCTTTTTGTGCTGTCATCTTTGTTTTTTTATTACATTCATTTTAATATTGTATATAAACACTATCCCACAGTGTACTGTGTAACATACTAAGAAATTATAAAGAATTACTAGACCAAAATCCTATCCCAGAATCTACAACATTTCAGCCTAGAGTAAAGCATAGGGAATAGAAACATCATATATAAGATATATGTTGAGAACATTTAGGAATAGCATAAAAGAACACAAAGGTGGCATATGAAAAGCACTGAACATTATCAAGATTTCTAACAATGCAAGAGGATAAAATAGAGCAAAAGTTGTTAAGAAGGTCAGAAATCCTACATTAGCACATAATATGGAGATGTTGGAAATACATAAACATCTGTCAAGGTTAATTGCCATAACAATTGAGTTCAGTAGTTTATATCAAATGTATGGAGAACACTATATAGAAAAACCATACCTTTCATACTTTTCAGGTTAGGTTTATTTAAGATAACCAAGTAAATTTATTCATAAACCTGGTTCAGGTTTAGCATTAACATTCAAAAAATGCATTACAATAGACCCCCCTATAACACGGTAGATACGTTCTGTTTTATATGAATTCCGTGTTGTATGATCACTTAAATACATGAGCCAATCACAACCCAGCACTTTGTGCAGTTTAGGGACTACGGCTGTTTGAAAGGTTTTCTTCCATAAAATTAATCGATTCTAGACTAATTTGACTCAACATTTCCAAAACACACAATTTTTGGGAATAATCCATATAAACTATGCTATAAATAAAAAATTGTAGGATTACTTACCATGTGTGCACCGTTCAACAATGCCATTGCATAAGCTTGTTTTCTTTGCGGAGTGGCTCATCGAACGGCGGGCACATGTTTCCTGATAAGTTATTTTTCTGCGAAAAATTTGCTGAACTTTGGAGACATCATTAATATAAATATAATTTTTATGGCAGTTAAATAATAAATGGTTTTTAGTAGGTCCTCTGCTCGTTTAAACTCAACGGTTTGTGCAATATCTGCTATTGGTCTAGATTTGACCTATCCTGTCGCGACACGAGTCTGCGATGACATTTTACCATATTATACAAGTCTCTTTTAGAATTATCGCAATTTTTTCGCCGTGTTATATGAATCTGTGTTATAGGGGGTCTACTGTATTCTGAAATGTTTTGTTTCAGCATTAGTACTTTGAATTACACTATACAGAATGTTACAAATGAAGTGAACCAGTATCATAACTTGGAAATGACTAAAGGAGGAGGAATAGACTAATGGCCAAACAAAGTGTAAGCAAAGTATAAGTGCCCAAAAGTTGATCAGTATGTCATATGTGTCATACACCGTGTATGTGTTGGAGACTCATGGATCTTGAAGTCCTACAGGGATTACTTTTTAAATTCTAATGGTACATGGGGTCAAAATGTGCCATTGGAAAGTACTTGAAAATTTAAACAATGTTTACTCTGGCTTAATTTTTTATAACTTTTGCATTGTCAAGTAAAGTAAACATAAATATCTGAGTGAAATTCAGAAATACCACTTGAGCCATTTACCTATACCTTGACATTTCTCACTTACTCAGTTGAGAATCAGTTAAACTCATTTTCACATTTGGTATTTCAAATGAGGTTGGAATGAGAAGTACTTTATCATATTAAAAAGTTGAGTCCTTTAAATGACTTAGTAGTTTTCTGTTTCAAGTTTAACTGGAGTTGTCTGATTCATTCTCTTGAGGCAAAAAAGTAACAGAACAGGATTGATTCAGAAGAGTTCTATAATTATATCCAGTAAAAATGTGTTATCAGGGAAATGCTTTCTCTGAGTAGAAAAAAGTAGCAATTGCTACCAAATCCAATTTCAGGTTGAGTTATCCGTTATTAAGGTGTATGTGTCTAAGACTCACCAATAAATAAAATTAATGTTGGACTATTGGACATAATAGATTCTAGTTTACTAAAAGTTAAAAGAATATGTGTTGTAAAATGTAAAATAAATTATTTTTATTGTTGTCTGAATTATTATTAAATACCAAATTTGTTATTTCAGGAAGTCCTTTTGTTACCGTAGATTAAGTTATCTATCTTCTAAATATCAGTTGCATGTATTGTTGAATGAACTCCGAGAAATAACTGCTCAAAAGGCTGTTCCTCACCGTGATTTCTACAATATTAGGAAGGTATGACATTATTTTTTCAGATAGGATATTTGTAGAACATCACTCTTAAATATTCTGTTTTATGATATAAATTTAAAAGTAAGAGAGAAGAACATTAAATTTGATTTATAGGTAAATTTAATTTTCGGTTTTACTAAGATTCAGGTAAGAGTGGTGGTGCTTTAGTACTCACAAGTAACAGGAATGCAGTGTATGTTATTTAGTTGGTTTTAATATGGATGTGAATAATTGTAAATGAGCATAAATGTGTCTTGTGGAAGCTCGAAGTGCATATAAGGAGTCATAATCCACTTTTTGGTCAAAGAGAAATGCATGCAGATGGTTTATAGCATTATTTCCCAAAAGTTTTAGGATTACTACTGCCTTTTTAGTGTATATACATTTCATCAACAAAATTTTAAGCATTTATTTTATAAAGAAGTATTTGATTAATATAAAATTAATTAATCTGTATGGTGAATATAAATATCAAGCATACAACCTTTTTTTCTTTCTAGAAATATTTAATGCTTATACAAATGTTTTTAGACTGATTTTACAGTTCAACTTTTGGTCTACATTCAGCCTAACACATTCTGTTCTATTTTTGGAACATTGGAATGTTTTAATGACTTATATAAAAGTTTTTAAATTTTTGGAATGTATATAAAAATTTAAATTTGGTCCATTTAGTTATATTAATTTTTGATCTAAATAATTTATTTATCATTGATATATAGGAAAAGTCACATAATGACTACAGTTTTCCATCCTCCAGATAATAAGCAAGCCTGAAACAAATAAACAAGTAAAATAACATATAACTAAAAACACAAGAGAGGAAAATTTAAAAAATGTAAAAAAAATATAGTATAAATTTCGCTTACAAATACAGTAGAACCTCTATTATCCAGATTGTTCAAAATAAACAAAAATTTTACGAATTTGCTGATTTGCACTTGGTGAATTACGACACTGTTTATGTACGTGATGGAATGCATAACTTTTTTTGTTTCAACAGCGTCTCATCCGGCACAGTGGTCGTAAACTCTTAAATATATTTTACGTCGTAATAAAAATATAACTTGACATACGTATTTATAAATTATTTATATTCAAATTACATCATTTCTATGACCAAGGGCGGTGTAAGGCATGGACGACGTGGGCCACCGCCTATGCCTCGTGGTCCGAAGGGCCTCGCGCCTCGAAGGTTTATGCATTACTTAAAAGCCGCGAATGCGACAAAAAAATTTTACTCATCATAAAACGATAAATAGTTTGTCAAATTTTTATTCGTAAAAATGCAGTTTTAACTGCTTTTTATTTTATAAAATCCGTCTTCTTGCACCACCAGAAGGCCTTTTAAACAATAAGTAGTCTGTTAGCGCTGGTCAGTAGTAGTCCAAATTCAATACAAACATTTGTTTCTTGAAAATTTGATAATGATTTAAATACAGTATTTATTTTTAATATTACTGATATGTCATCGAAAACAAAACATGTATTATCATTAAAAGTATTTGTTTCAATTATCCGAATTTTTCCTTATCCGGACTACCTTCATCCCCAATTAGTCCGGATAATCGAGGTTCTACTGTATTTTTAAACTGAGAGAAAGTAACATGTAAAAAAGAATCAAAATTAAACATATTTTGCAAAATATTATAAAAATAAGAATGCTATAAGATCACTACTCTATAAAATGGCATATAATTACATGAAAAATATCCAGTGGCATAGCGTAGTGGGGGCAGCAGGGGCGGCCCGCCCGGGCGACACTTTTAGGGGGGCGGCAAAATTTCACAATAAATAATGATAATATCTTGTAAAAATTTGAACCATTTCATTTCATATTTTTGTCGCACCTATGATTTGGACCAATTGAATTGAGCACAGAATTTTTCATTACTTATTCTGTGACGAAACTGAATTTTAGTCTTTTAATTGAGATACCTAAATAAGGGGGCAGCGAAATTTTCCTCTGCCCTGGTGGCTGACATCCACTCTATGCCACTGAGAATTTCATAAATTTCTTTGGAGTTATCTTAAACGGAGCTAACTGGACTGTATATACATCTTCATTTACACATACATGTGAATGAACATGTATATACAAATTTGAATTTTGAATATGTTACTGATTTGAATTTGACCAAATTGAATTTTTATAAGTATTTCAAAAATTTAATTAATAAATTCAATGTTTTTAAACTAAATAACTTATAATAATAATAATAATAACTCTCCCGTGGTCACCACCTGGTCTCTCCCGTGGTCACCACCTGGTCGTGGTGGGAGAGCCCAGTAATTTTACTGAACCATAGGGCAATGCAGGCTGGAGCACAAGTTCCTGGTAGGGACACCCATGCCAGTAAGGTCTATGGGAAGAAATGAAGCTACGAGTGACCACACCCACATTATGTGGAGATAATTATCATGGTAGTAACTAGATCTAAGTATGATACCGGCTCGGACGTCGCCCGGGTTAACAAGGTCCGCGTTTGTGGGTTAGGCAGAGGCTCACGTTCGAAAAATAGGCTCCAGTCTCCCTTGGTTACCAGTGGCGAAAGCAGCACTGGCCCAAGTATGGCTACTGCAATGCCCTCAACAGATGTGAGGAACCAACCTAGCCTTGGTGTTTCTGTGGCAATGCATCCACAGACCACAAAGGCTGGAAAACCACGCCAACGGATGAAATGGACAACAGAAATGAACGAGTTTATCATCCGCACTTACTACACCATCACAAGACTCGAAACAAACATGACAGCATACAGACAACAACTACACCACATATTCACACAACAATATCCTCACCTCACTGTCACCGAACAAAGGGTTGTTGATCAAAAACGAACAATTATACACAACAACCTTATCCCACAAACAACACTTGAACTTATCAAACAACAGGTTGCTGATCAAATACATCAACAGACAGAAACATTTAACATTAATGAAGATCACGTAACCTGTCAGGATAATCCAGCAACAAGCACTGATTACAGCACACACACAACAAGTACCACTAATGATACTGCAGGCACTTCCCCATCCATCACTGATAACATAGACATAGAATTAGTTAATACACTCTCACTTATATTTCAGGAAACACTCACTAAATATACAGGTACAGATCCCACACAAAGACCACGAATACCGAAAATCAACACGTCAAAGGTAGTAGGAAAAACACTAAATTATGTAAACACTCACTTACTACCAAACTACATTCATTCAATTTCTACACTCTCAGACATTCATACATTAGTTTATGCTGGGGCAGTCACAGTAGTAACACACCATGGACTGAAAATACACTCACAGACAGACACACACAAAACACAATTCTATCACAAGCCTGCCTGGCAGAGAAGAATAGAAACACAAATAAATGACATTAGACAGCAATTAGGCAGGCTGACACAATACACTAAAAACAACATAACACCCAAATTAAAGAAACAACTCAAAAACATTTTCAAGAAAATTAAAACACACACAAAACATGAACATCACAACACACACATTACAGAATACATCGATACACTAAAACAAAAACTCGCAGCCAAAGCACGTAGACTCAAACGATACAAAACATGTACACTACGAAAACAACAAAATAAATTATTCACAAACAATGAAAAACTTTTCTACAGACAAATCAGTACCAAAACAAACACTGATACACAGCACAGTGGCACACCAACAGAAGAAGAACTCACAACTTATTGGTCTTCTCTTTGGTCCAATGCTGTTACACACAATGCTGATGCAGGCTGGATCGAGGAGGAGAACAGAAACTTGCACAACATACCAACTATGCCCTGTGCTGAAATAAACATACACGACATTCGCTACGCTGTTAACAGAACACACAACTGGAAGACACCTGGTGTAGACAACATTCACAATTTCTGGTACAAAAAGTTTACATCACTGCACCAGGAACTAGCTAAACATCTAACACACATCATCATCAATCCACAAGACATGCCAAAATTTCTTACTCAGGGCATCACCTACATGAAACCTAAAAACAACAAAACCACAGACCCCACACAATACAGACCAATTACATGTCTTCCAACACTCTACAAATTATTGACATCCTGTATCACAAACAAAATATACAAACATGTTGAAGAACACGACATTCTTACAGAACAACAAAAAGGTTGCCGTAGAAATCACAGGGGATGCAAAGAACAGTTACTCATAGATTCAGTCATTCTACGGCAAGCACACAAACAACACAGAAACATACACATGGCATATATAGACTACAGAAAAGCATTCGACAGTGTTCCACACAGTTGGCTGCTACATATTCTACACATGTACAAAATACATCCATCACTCATTGCATTCTTCGAAAACACTATGCAGCACTGGAGAACAACACTACATCTCAGGGTTAGTAACACTTCCATACAAACAAACGAAATATTCATTAGGCGAGGAATTTTTCAAGGAGATTCCTTGAGTCCTCTCTGGTTCTGCCTAGCCCTGAATCCATTATCCAACATGTTAAACAACACGCATTATGGCTACAATATCAGACATGAAAAAACAACACAGTTTACACTGTCACATCTCATGTACATGGACGACATAAAACTTTATGCATCCACACAAAAACAACTTCATCAACTCCTACAAATCACACATTCATACACTAAGGACATACAAATGGAGTTTGGCTTAGACAAATGCAAAAAACTTCACATAGAAAAAGGAATCCTGAAGAAAGAAGATTTTGCACTTGGAAATGGAGACGTTATTGAATCCATGGAAGAGGGCGAGTTCTACAAGTATTTAGGATTCCAACAGGCCAAACTAACAGAACATACACAAATAAAGCAAAGATTAATTAAAGAATACCAAAGTAGGTTAAATGCCATTCTCAAAACACAGCTAAATACAAAACACACAGTTAAAGCAATAAACACATATGTCATTCCAGTACTCACTTACTCTTTTGGAGTTATACATTGGAAAACAAGAACAACACT